ATGATAAAGCCAAGGATGTATAAAAACAACATGTGAGGAGCTATCTTAGAGAGCTATGTAATTTGGGTAAATTCATATTTCGTGCCCAAAGTTAAGATCTGACATGTTGTAATATATTTCACACTACCTTCTGCTATTCTATGTATACTATGTGTAGTTTATATGTTGTATGCAATAGTTGTTATGACTTTGGTAAAAAAAAGATTATTATATCATTTAGAACGGGATAAGAACGAATTAGAAATAAACTAGGAATGTGACCAAAAAGATACATTAATCCATTTAAGGTCAGTTTGCCTGATGGAGTTAGACATTTAGTTTCTTAATAATTTCTAATTTTGTCGACGGAGCTGATGATACCCTCTTGCAGTTAAGGTTTACATGATACATGTGTATTTCTTCTTCAGAATATCTATCAGTGAGATTTTTCCTTTTCATTAAAAAGTGTATGAGTAAAATTAAACCAACTAATATATGAATATAATAACAGGGTTCTGTACTTAGATATCAGTGGTGTAAACACAAAGACAATTGAACAACACACAGATTCCAAAAGACATTTAGAGGTCTCCATGCGGTCTTCATTAATATAAAATTATTTATACAATATTTCAAGCACTACATCTTATAACAGAGATTACACGGAAAAGCGACAGTCTAGCTAGCTATTCATTCCTGGAAAATACTGGAGCGATGTAGCCAAAGTTAGAGTGAGTTGGACGAAGCATAAGTAAAGACAGAGAAAACCAGTCAGGTCCCGAAAAAGACTTAATCTCTGTAAACTTAGAAAACAAACAGAACAGACTACATATATTGATTCAATATCCTATTTCTGAGTAGTGGCATTATTATCGCTACTCTATTGTTTGTTTACTGTCCTCGAGGATATCCGTCATTTTATTTTGCACGTTTAATATTGAGTCTGATGCTCGACACACTATTATCATACTGTACAAATACACTTCGCTCGCTTACCTCATATAATGACAAGAAGAATAGAAAAGTCGTAATGTATTCAATTTCGATAAATATTATAATTTATTCAAATAATAATAAAACGTTTACTTCATGAACATATTTATTAAAACACAACAAATTTAGTTGGCGTAATTTTGTGATTTCGATGCAAAATAAGACAATATATCCTGTTTTTGCTGTCGGTGTTACTGTTAATTCATAAAATCAATATTTTAGAATATCTTTTCACATAAGTTTAGAATGACATACCGTGCACAAAATAAGACATATACCTTCTATAGAAGCTCATTAATAGATATATATTAATCCACATTTGAAATACTCACAAGCTGTAAATGACTGGAAAACCAACTGGGATTTCCATGGCAATGATGTAAAGATCTTTTTCCTTTAATTATCTTGATTTAAGTCATCGATTGATGCAGCCTTTGAACATTTTTTTGCAGCTTTATTAAGTCCATAATGTGCATTAATTTTCAGTTGTCTGTCATGACATCAGATTAGTAATTTACATCTGTTACCAATTCTATAAATTTGTTGACAAGGCAAAATATTCTAGACACATGCAATTAAAACATAGGCTATTTATCAGGACAGTTGAAATAACTCATTGCGCACAATTAAACGAAATACCTAGTTAGTAAAGATTAAAAGAAAGGTCTCGTTAACAGAAAACATTACTCTGCAAATTTTTAAAGCAATCAGCTAACAAAGACTCGTGAAAATGAAGAACAAGATTTAGTAAATAATCTTCATTATTATCAGATAATAGTTCTAGTTCGATAAGCATTAATACATCTCGTTTGACAAAAATAAACCACACACAATTAGGTTAGTATCGTCATTATTTCCAATATAAATTTTATTTTTAAGTAAAATTTCCTTTTCCTTTTTTCTTGGCATAACAATTTTTGTGACCATTGTCGACTTTTAAGCCAGACTGCTGATTAAAGGCAAATGATACAGTTTTGATCCGCGGTGATTTTGGACGAACATTTACATACAAGCTATTTTTCATCTGATCGATTCAAAGGAGTAGGGTCAATTCCCCCTGAATTTATTGCACACCAGGGCCACTTTTAAAAAGTCGTTCAATCTTTACTTATATTTATATTACCATAGCCGCATGTGTGTAATTTAAGGATCTAACATATCAATATATCATCTTTAAATTATTAGAAGAAAAACATTCCACCATCGTATCTCGCGCCACTCCCTATCTATATGTCTTTTGGTTGTTTGTGTTGTTGGGTTGTTGTCTCATTGATGTATACCCCTTATATTCATATTGGACAACTGTGTGTGTCAATAAAATGAGATGTGAGGCATATATCTATGAGACAGTAACCCAACGACAAAAATATCCATCTAGAGGCTCTAAAGAACCTGTGTAGCTCACGTGCATCTTCAACAATGGCGACTTTTGAGTAAAAATCATCATTAAAGGGGATCAACTCTATAAAGAGTTAACTGACAATTTCAGTCATGTTGACATATTGGTAGATCTTATCCGGCTGATAATTTTTCCTGTCTAAAGTGTCTATTTATCTATTTATTTTTTTATAAAAAAAATGTGAAAATTATCCTTAAAGGGCAATAACTCCAAAAACGAGTCGACTGAATATTTCGACCCTTACTGGCTAATAAGTTGATCTTGTCTTGCTGATCATTTGTGCTATTTAAAGTTTCTATCTACCTTTTACAGTTTTTAAGATAAGAGGCAAAAATGGGGAAAAATGGGGGAAAAAATACCATCAAAGGGCAATAACTTCAATAAGGAGTCGACTTACAATTTTTGGTCATGTTTGACTTATTTGTAGATCGTATCTCTGCTCATTTTTGCTTTTTTAAGTTTCTATTTATCTAGAATAATTCTTAAGATATTAGGCCAAAAAAAAAGTTGGTTAAAAATCCTCTATTGTTTAAAGTAAAATAACAAAAATACCGAACTCCAAGGAAAATTCAAAACGGAAAGTCCCTTATCAAATGACAAAATCAAAATCTCAAACACATCAAACAAATGGAAAACAACTGTCATATTCCTGACTTGGTACAGGCATTTCCTTACGTGGAAAATGGTGGATTAAACCTGGTTTTATAGCTAGATAAATGTTGCTATTCACTGATTATAAATAATAATCTGATTTGAACATAAGTTATATGGGAAATGTCACTAGAGAAGCATGAACTGCCTACCATTTTAGGACACATGAGTTCAACCCCGATTTTTTCGTGTCATACTTGTAAGTATCGCTCAATCCAATTTGTTTTTATTGTTTCGTCTGCTTAATGTTCACTGGCAACTATTACACACTATACTAAGTTTAGTTTACTTAAGTGTAACAACCCTCGGGATCTAATTCATGGCCATACGCACTCCAGGCGAGCATGATACCGCATGACTACCAAGCCGGAAGGCACCAACGACAATTGCTGGATAAAGAGAAAGAACGTAATATACACTTAGTTGGTTTTGTGTAGTTTATACATATTTTATTGTTCAAAATGACAAAAGGATTAAACACAAGTTTTACAACTTACTTTCCTTGACAGATGTATTTTATTGATATTACTCCATGGCTTTGTTCTTCAATTCACAGTTGTGGCGTGATCGTCAGTTTGCAAAGAATTTCGCTCAAACCGGTGCTAGGGACCGTCTTAAACTTGCAGTGAGTTGATAGTTATTTTGCTCCGTGTTGAAGGCCTCACTAAGACTTTGAGATGAAGAACAGCAATACAAGATCTGTTCCTTTGCTTTTTGTGTATTTTGCTGTGCATATAAGAGATGATTTTTCATTTCCTATTGTTAATTATCCATTTTTAGATGGTGACGTTCCCTTGTCACCATCTTATGGTGTTTATATATCTCAACTGGTTCGATTCGGTCGTGTATGTAACAACGTTTTTGATTTTAACGAAAGAAATCTCTGTATTACTAAAACATTATTACACCAGGGTTGTCGATATCATAAACTAGTCAAAACATTAACTAAATTCTATCATCGGTACAAGGACATAATTCGTAAATATAAATCAACATGCAGACATCTTATACGTTCCGGTATTTCACATCCAATCCTTTATGGTAATATTCCATACAAAGCACAAAAATGTCGTCATTCACCTCAAAAGCTAACCAAACCTTTAAACAGACTTATTCAGAAGGGATATAGTTACGATACTGTTGTCAGGTCATTAAAGATGGCATATTTTGGAATTAATATTGATTCACTCATAGGGGGTATTTGCATCGGAAATAAACACATGTATTCATAAACAAGTTGTTGGCATGATACGGGTTATGTTCTTCTCATATATTTTATGATGGTATGATACTAAACCCATAACGGGAGGGATTGTGCTTGATTTTCATATGATGAAGACATAATATTTCAATCAATTTAATTGAGGTCTGGAGCTGGCATGTCAGTAACTGCTAGTAGTCCCTTGTTAATTTATGTATCATTGTCATTTTGCTTAGTTTCTTCTGTTACCTATTCTGACATCGGACTCGGACTTCTTTTAAACTGAGTTTTACTGTGCGTATTACTATGTGTTTGTTTATTCTACATTGGCTAGAGGTATAGAGGAGGGTAGAGACCTCACAAAACATGTTTAACCCCGCCGCATTTTTGCGCCTGTCACAATTCAGGTGCCTCCGACCTTTGTTTGTCTTGTTCGTTTTTTTAAATTTAGTTCATTTATATGTTTCGGAGTTTAGTGTGACGTCCATATTCACTGAACCAGTACACATTTTTGTTTGGGGCCAGCTTACGCCCGCCTCTGGGTGCGGGATTTTCTCGCTGTGTTGAAGACCCATTGGTGACCTTGGGATGTTTTCTGTTCTTTGATCGGGTTGTTGTCTCTTTTGACACATTCCCCATTTCCATTCTCAATTTTATTTTTATTATGATTTTTTGTCATGGATGGATACCCATATCCTTTCTTTTCTATTAGTAACGTCTTCTTCTTTTATGTAGATGTCGTGAATTAATATTTTGTTTTAAAAAATGAAATAAAACTTTATTTTTTTTATAAAATTTTAATACAAACATAACAAGTAACGTTATACCCCAAAACTTACAACATATTGTCTCTGTCCTGCAGAGGATCGTATGGCGCGCTATCAGAGTCACAACTATTTAATTTAGCATATGCTTGAGTTTCATTCAGCAATACATTAATATCAAATAATTATGACTCCATAACGTGCAATGCACTTATGTGTTTCACAAAGGCACGTTTTTTACAAATTAAGGTGTCATGAGCTGGGTACATCTAATAATCACATGTAATTAATCTGTACAATAGAAAAAAAAAAATCATCTCATATAATTAATATCTTTGCAATCATAAAAATATAAAGATTAAAGACAAAAACAGACATCTCACAATCAATACGTTATAATAATAAGAGTACCAAAAAATATATTTTGATATAAAGAACTTTAAAGACACAGTCTGTATAGCGAAGTCGGACATTTAAATTCTTTCTTCAAAATTTTTACTTTATCTTAAAATTCAGATGTAGTTTATGACTTCTTGCTTAACATCTTTATTATCTATTTTCATAAAAATACAAAAATCCTGACCTACCATGATGTGTTTCTATTCCAAACATTCATATCGGGTCTTTACCAAGGTTAAAAAATTACATGTACCAGTAGTTTACCAATTTAGTAATGTTAGTAAGGGTTTACAAGACACTTGTCTTCTTTTTAACTTACCACTGGATATGTTTCATCAACGGAAACACGATGAACGTCGTATTAAAGTGGAACAAGAACTGCTGACCCTTCCGGATGACCTGATTTTATCCTTGAGTTTGGTGGGGTTCGTGTTGTTCAGTCTTTAGTTTTGTTGTATTTTTTTTTTTTCAGGTTTGTCTTTTCCATCTGAACTTGATCACATTTATTTCTTCTGTCACTGCCGTATCTTTTCATACATCCGACATTTTAGGCTACAGTAAGTGTCTTTCGTTCCTAAAACTTCGAGTCTACAAACTCTCGTTCATAAAATAATTGCCCATTGTTTTTGGCCTTTTAAATTTCTTTTCAATCAATCATTTCAATCATTTTGTTGACCTGAAACTGTTGGAGGATAACAAAAAAACCTGTCTTCTTACACTGTAAGTTGTGCATTAAATCTGAAATCTATGTCATACTGTCTGCCTACATTTCCGAATCTAAAACCATGTAAAAAGAATAACGCGACAAATTGTCTATAAGTTTATACATATGTTTGTCATGCTAGAAGTATACGCACGATAAAAATGTATAATATAACAGAACTTATCTTAACAAACCTTGAATATAATACAAAGAAGTTATTATCTCTAACAGTTAAGATAATGACGGAGGACAGAAGAAAATGCATTGATCTATTACACAATCATCGTAATATTCTAGTCAACAAAAGAAACGATACACAAGTTTGAACTAGAAATTAAAATAAAATTTGATATACAGGAAAAAGTCTTAAATTATCCAATGAAAATCTTATTTTGCAATCAAATGCATATTATTCTAAAAAAGAACTGACCAAGTCGGAAAATGAGAAAAATACAGTGTTATCGAACAAAGGATACAATTTATTTTGCGGAAAAGGATGACAAAACTCGGCACCCAATTTCGAAAATGAGGATTTAGTATTAAAATATAAACGAAGGAATTAAAAATTTTAATCAGACCATGCTCTTGTTTCAAGTTTTCAGCTAAAACATCTGGGTTTTGAAACTTTAGGTGCAAAAAAGGTTTTTGAAATCAATAAAAATGTGAATAAAAAAATTGCATTTTTGTCTTTAATCAATCATTTTGATAAGAAAACAACACTCTATTAACATTGGACCAATTGGGCAACTTATTTTATTTATATCATCTATCCAATTTCATTATATATGAAAAATTAATTGCTTTATATTATTTCTTTTGTTGACCATTATAGCATACTAAATCATATCAAATTTTCCGCAGCTATACTGAAGTGCATTAAAACTTAAAACATAAGTAACTTTTAAACAACCTTATAAGGGAAGAATAAAAGAGTAAACACATCATTTCATATATATCACAGTAAAAATCACAGTTATTTGCTGAAAATGTATCATATATACTAATATATATCATTGATTACAGTTATATTAGGTAACCAGGTAGCGATATAAAGAAAAAGATTAAAAAAAAAAGTTTTTTTTTAATTTAAGAAAGTTGAGTCGTTGACATGCTGTCGTGCTGGCGTTTATATCGTTTATCGGTATAAGCTTATTTGGTTAAAACGGTATGGTAAAGAATGTTTAATGACCAGTGGCAACCATTTCATACATATTCAGGACGACTAAACAAAGATTATACAATGTCATGTAAATATTCTGAAAATGAAATGTTTTGAACTCAGAAATAAAGCTTTTAAAGATACATATATCACATATTTCTTGATTGACATTAAATATCATTTATTGTGAATAACGTTTACAAAAAGAAATGAAATTGCTATAAAACAGATAAAATAATTATTCAACAACGGCACTCCACTATTCCTTACACGATAACGATACTAAAATATTATAAAAAAGGAGTTTTCGCTTGGACACCATAAGCATTATATCCAGTTGTACACTACATATCGACAAAATGATTTAGTTAAACGTAAAACGTTTGACATACACGGTAAAAAAATATATGCGAGAACAACTTTTGCACATGTAGACAAAAATTGAACAAGGAAACAACATATCAAAATGATTTAGATGTACATTATGGATACAGATCACGAATTTTAAGAGAGATGACACTTGAATTATAGCACTACAAAGAAACGAAGCGTTCTCTGCATTCGAAACGCATTGTTAGCTGGCACTTTCATAGTAGTCATAATTAAAACAATTCAAAGATATATTTTGAAAAATGTAAAAAATCTTTTTGACAAACGTATATATCTTATTATATTGTATCTGAACATCATTTTCTATTAAAGTTCTGTAATCTTTACAAAACGGTGAGCTTTCCATCTTCATGCAAAACTTACCATCGGCCTTTTAGTTATTCATTCGTTTTAGTCCGCTTTCGCAGACCAGCACAGTCAACAGCACTCAAAAACTATATGATATATGTTAAAATCATTTGAAACACGAAGTTCTTCCATCCTCAGGTATAGATGGCCTAAGCCAGGTTTGGCACAACCTTTTGGAATTTTGGTTTTAATCTTTTTAACTTCACAATTGATTTGGACTTAAAACAATTCGTAATTAATCATGAAAAGTGCTCCCACCGAAACAAATACAGTATGTTTGACTTTGTTTTATATTTGTTTTCAACTTTTCGGTAATTATCAGACAAAAATGATTTTCCAAAAAAATATACACAAAAATATACATAAATACTATTTTTACATAGTTTACTTTGTGCTATTGTACTGAAGGCAATACGTCTATTTTTTAACGTAAGATTAAAATAAGTAAAAAATAAACCAAATTGGCACAGAATTGTCCAAATACAACAGACAAATGATATAAAAGTTGATTTCAGTCCACAATGAAATAATTCATAAACGTCAAGTTTCATCAGACACTTTTGTATAACCATTTGTACTGTTTCCGATTCCTAATTCTTTTTCTTCTTCCTCTTTATCAATTTCTACCCCCTCTTTATCATTTTCTTCTTCCTTCCTTTCATAACTTGACCCTCCTAGTTCTACATTAGAAGTCTCCACATTTATATCTGCTTCACATACAATTTTACTGTTCTCACGTGATTTATCAAAATTGTTATCATATGGTGCTGGGACATGTTCTTCATCTATGGACATCTGACTAACTGGCGTTCCAGGTTTATCTTTTGTTTTCTCAAAAGGACTGATTGGGACCCCTAATATCTGGCTTAGTTTTAACATAACTTCCTCGTGCTGTTTTTCTCGTACTGTTAATGTGTTTAACATCTCGTATCGGAAACTGGAAATATCTTGTTTAATTTCTTCAAAGTCATCTATTTTATGAAAAAAAAATTACTTGAATTAAATCATGATCCTGCTGAAAAAGATAGTCAAGATACATCAATTAATAAGGTTTTTATCATTGATTTTGAACCTTGTTTGGTATTTACTTGTAGTAAAGTACATACTTAAATGACAAATATTTCCATTAACCGAAGGTCAAAATTATATAAAATTTATGTAATTTCTTATACATGTAATGGAAGTTTAAAAGAACTTTAAGATAAAACTATTTTAATTCCATACCAAGGAAATATTTTTTGGGATCAGAACTGGACGCCCCATCTGCTCTCAACTACCCCTAACTAGAGTTTGGGATCAGAACTAGACACCTCATCTGCTCTCAACTACCCCTAATTAGAGTTTGGGATCAGAACTGGACGCCTCATCTGCTCTCAAATACCCCTAACTAGAGTTTGGCAACCAAGAGGTAGTAGATCTGGACCTTACGAAGAAGAACTAAGATTTTAGGGAAACATATTATAGATAATAAACAACAAAGTTAAGAAAATAAATTCCAATCAATCTGATAAAAATACAATTCCGGTGTCCAAGATTTGCTCATAAAGATCTTACAACTATCCGTTCCACTTTCTGTTCTGGTAATTATTACACCAGCCAATGAAATTCCCGCCTACAAATTATTGAAACTGTGTATCATTACGACAAAACCACATGACCAGTGATCCCGAAAGGTCTTTAACTTAGAAAGTATAATGGAGTGTTGTCAGATACTTATAAGCCAAGCGTGTACTCAGAATCTGTATCTTAATCAGATTGAATTCCAATGAAACTACGGCTTATGGAGAAGAATGTTCTCCCTAGTATATTCGTGGTCAATGGAGAATCATTCTGATATAAAAAAAAATACCACCTTTACCTTCTGTTACTTCTGCCTCTCTCTGCATATCAAAGATATATCTCTGTACTATCGTTTGCATAACTTTCTGCAAATAAACAACCAATCACAAGTTTACTTTAAGATAAATAAACAAACACACCTTTGTGACAAAGCATGAATATGCAGTAGTCTTTGACTCTTTTTGAACAGGTCATTATTATATTAGTAGATTTCACAGCTATGAAAATTTTTCTTATTTCAGAATTTTACCAAGTTCTTATTTAAAATACATCTTCATTTGTGTGATGAATATATAAACTTGTGTCAAAACTGTAATTTCACGAATTAAAGAAGATTTATTATGTTTTCTATTAAAAAATGATAAATTGTTCGTTACCTTTATTAGAAATCAACGACGGAAAACTTCCTTTCTATCATTGGAATTTAAAAGTTTCGGATGACCTGATTCGGTAATCTGTGTAATTGATCGTTTATGTTTGTTCAAAATGAGGTACCTCTTTTTTATGTCAGTTACCTGTATGCATGATCGTCTATGTCCGTTTATAATTTGGACCTCTTTAAATGTCAGTTACGTGGGGATACGCTCGTGTATGTCTGTTTATAATTTAGACCTCTTTATTATGTCAGTTACCGGTGTCAACGCTCGTGTATGTCTGTTTTTTAGTTTGCCCTCTTTATTATGTCAGTTACATGAGTGAATGCGCGTCTTTGTCTGTTTATAATTTGCAAAGGTACTTGGGGACAGGACATTTTTTTTAGCCCTCCCCCTTTTTTCCAAAATCCGTTAATTTTTTGCTATTTTCTATCAATTCCAAGTTTACTTTCCATATATGTGACCGCTAAATACAAGTTATTTCTAGTATATTTATGTTCATATAATACAGAAAAACGCGAAAATATTTGAAATTAATAGAAAACAAAAAATAACGGATTTTAGAAAAAAAGGGGAGGGCTAAAAAATATTGTCCTGTCCCCAAGTACCTATGATAAGTTGGACCTCTTTATTATGTCAGTTTCATGGGTGAATGTTTGCCTATTTGTGTTAATAAGTGCTTGTCAGTGTCTGTAAATGATGTTATATAAAAATGAAATCTATATTAATAGATCCTGCTTTGAAACTATAACTGCCCTTGAATTTTTACTAGATAACATTTTTGTTCGCTATGGAGATTCCGTATATCGTCAAGTTATTGGAATTTCCATGGGGACTAACTGTGCACCACTTAATGCGGACCTGTTTCTGTATTGTTATGAGTTACAATTTAAGTTATGAGTTACAAGTTAAAATCAGCAAAGACCCATCGAAACAGCATCTGATTCAAAAATTTAATAACACTTTTAGATATTTAGATGATATATTGACTCTCAATAACGACGACTTCAGTATGTACACTAAAAAGATTTATCCTGCCGAACTGACCTTAAATAAAGCTAATACTAACAATGAACACTGCCCTTTCCTGGATCTTGATATCTATATCTTTAACAGGAAGCTTAATACCAAAATTTATGACAAAAGAGATCATGTTTCATTTCCAATTTTCAATTATCCATTTTTAGATGGTAACGTTCCCTTGTCACCATCTTATGGTATTCATATATCTCAACTTGTTCGATTCGCTCGTGTATGTAACAACGTATTTGATTTTAACGAAAGAAATCACTATATTACTGAAAAAATTATTACATCAGGGTTTTCGATATCACAAACTAGTCAGAACATTTACTAAATTTTACCCTCGGTACAAGGACATCATTCGTAAATATAAATTAACATGCAGACATCTTATACGTTTAGGTATTTCACATCCAATCTTTTATTGCACTATTCTTTACAAAGCACAAAAATGTCGGCATTCACCTCAAAAGCTAACCAAATCTTTAAACAGACTCATTCGGAAGGGATATAGTTACGATACTGTTGTCAAGTCATTAAAGATGGCATATTTTGTTATGAATATTGATTCACTCATAGGGTCTTTGCATCGGAAATAAACACATGTATTCTAAAACATGATGTTGGCATGATACGGGTTTTGTTCCTCTCATATATATTTATGATGGTATGATACTAAACCCCTTACGGGAAGGATTGTACTTGATTTTCATATGATGAAGACATAATCTTTCAATCAGTTTAATTGAGGTCTGGAGTCTCTTTATTCTACATTGGCTAGAGGTATAGGGGGAGGGTTGAGATTTCACAAAATATGTTTAACCCCTCAGCATTTTTGCGCCTGTCCCAAGCCAGGAGCCTCTGGCCTTTGTTAGTCTTGTATGTTTTTTTTAATTTTAGTTCATTTATATGTTTTGGAGTTTAGTATGGCGTCCATTTTCACTGAACTAGTACACATTTTTATTTAGGGGCCAGCTGAGGACCACCTCCGGGTGCGGGATTTTCTCGCTGCGTTGAAGACACATTTGTGGCCTTCAGCTGTTATCTGCTCTTTGGCCGGGTAAAAATTGTTGTCTCTTTGCCATATTCCTCATTTCTATTCTCAATTTTATATATTACGCGTTAGAGTTATTTGTATGTATATGGAACATATTATATACCTCGTTCACAAAATGTATTTATTCAGCCATGCATTCATATAGTTTCACAACTGGGGCCAGTTACTTAAACATGCACACGGTTAAAAGATTAATCATATTTCTTTTAATTTTACAAATTACGTTGAATTGATGAATGCATTCTATGTAGGCCATTCTGTTTTTGATACGATACGTACGTGATAGCTTTTTTTACCGAAAGGTAAACTCTCTGTACTCCTTCTTCTATCAATGTCTGCCGGCTTCAAGTGTCCATCACTGAGTTGAATATTGAGATTGTCACGTGATCGGTCTCTTGAACGTTTACCATTCTGTTTGAAAAAGTGAACAAGATCAACTTTTCAACGTAATGAACAGTCCCAAAACAGATAGAAAATAAAATAAATGGGTAATGTGTCCATGGGACACAGATGCCCCGCTTGTAAATATACGACAAATGCAGAAATTTTTCAATTTACAAAGGGACATAACTTGTGAACAGTGAAAGTGACGCCACCCAAGTTTGAGAACTTGATCTGTGTTTGGTGGTAATAAACATTGTGTATAAGTTTAATACCATTTGATTGAGGCAAACTAAAGTTAGAGAAGAAAAAGTAATTTTGGGACGTGCGAACGGACGTACAGTTGGACAATGGTAAACCTTAATGCACCCCCCCCCCTTTTCGCCGCGGCGGGGGCATAAACATTGACAATTGACCTGTGTATTAGTGTCATTTCGAGGTTTTTTGGCAATCAAACAACTGCCTACTCATGGATGAAATGTTAAACTTCTGTATTTCGTAATGATTTGTGCTTGTCAAGCATATTTCAAATGGGCGTTCCAGTCTGATTTGGCGTTTTAATGGTTCAACATTCGAACTGGCGCTGTGTAAACAATAGTAAGATATTACAAGCGCACATGCATTTACTATTTCCGATCTGTATTGTAATGACAGGCATTATTCTCTGTATTGCTGTATATCAAATAATATTTTTCTAGTCAATTATTTTCTCAACTAAGTTTGGTTTCCGGGTAATATATATATATCATATATTAAGGTTATCTTTCTTTAAATACATACCAATCCATTCTGACGACCATTCCTTTCCATTGGTTCTGGAGCCACATCTGGATTGCCATCTTCAGGTGTTTCGTTGTCATTATTTTCGCAACATTTTGAGCAACATCGAGAAATTTTCCGAACAATAGCTTTCGGAAGTCCTAACATATTCAAAGGAACAGGCAGAACGCTTCCTTCTCCAATATAGTCCATGTAAAGAACACTTCTAGCGAATTTCCACTCGACATCGGCGTCTTCCTGTTTGTCAAATAAATATTTTAGCAATCAAAGTAACCATCAATTCGACTATACAACCATATATTAAACCATATATAAACGGAAGATACGCTTATTGTGTAAAAGCACTTTAAAAAAATCTAGCATATACGATCAAGTACCTAAGTTACAATATTATCTACTGTGTCAAGAAAAAATCAAATAAATGTTGATTTTATTACAAAAAGAAAATAGCTTGGAAATATTCATACATGTGTAAATCTTTTTTTTTTCTGTATTTTTTTTATGGGACATTATATTCGACTTTGCTTTTTTGTTGGTTAGTTCAATATTCGAACGGGCTATATCATATGCATGACATTTTCATTAGCAACTGAAAGTGAGTACTAATATTATTACAAACTTCCTTTGAATTAACTCTGTTAGATTTTGAATATCCAGATCTTTTTGGGTGCAATGTAAAACAAAAATCGGGGCAAATTACATGAGCTCATTTGAAATTTTTATTTTTTTTCTGAACAAACCTTAGGATGAAAGGTTATCAGCTCAGCACATGAAAGGAGTGGGTTTATATACGGCCAAGTAATTTAAAACTTTATATTATTCTTCATCTAATTAAAATATCTTTTGGGTGTTTTGAAAACCATTTGAAACACTAAGGTATTTTTAACCCCAAGAATCTTTGCCACAACTTTTGGAATATTTTGTTTCAAATGCTCTTTCCCTTTGTAATTAATTTCGCCTTTTCAACTGTTTTTATTCGAGCCGTTTTGGACAGACATATACGAAATAAAATATACTTTGTCATTATGTTGTCACGACTAAAAATAACCTGTAACATTACTCACAGTTATATCTTGATACGATCTGGTCATCATGGCAATAAGCATATTTAATAGTACTATCACCATGGCGATATTATAGGCACCGTATATAATGTATCCAATGTCTTCTGTAAATTTATTTTCATATTCTCCCAACTTGACAACATCAGTGTCTCCGCGACCAAATAGCGACCAGAAAACTGTTCTGAATGTGGCTAATACACTGAAATGTAATTTCAATTTCATATCTACTTTAGAGCAAAATAAGTTACACTATTTGTCACATTCTTTTCCAATACAGTTTAGAACTTCATAAAGTCGAGTAAAACACATTGCAAGTTTTAAGCTGATATAGTATTTAATAAATTCTTGAGAATTTGTATACAATTGTTTTTATTTATTTAAGATTTTATCGTCCCTCTTAAAGTGGGCATTTCATGTCACAGTTATATTATCTTGACCCATGGATATTAGGTCCGAAAAAATGAAACGATCCCATACATTTAAAGACATAAGACATAAAAACAATACAGAACAAATCAAATGCACATTAATGGCCGAAGATCCCATGTTCAATGTTAATAATTGCCCATTAAAGTTCAAAGTTCCCATGTTCAATGTTAAGAATTACACATTAAAGATCAAAGCTAACATGTTCAATGTTAAGAATAGATAAACCGACTTTCAGATAGTGTTCAAGTTTACTAACTCTGCAAATTGTACTTCTGCTCTTGTTGTAAAATTGTGTTTGGTGACTTCAATGTTTTCCCTCATGCTGTAATACCAGAATAGGTTGTTAAGGCCTACCATGAAGGCAGAAAAGACCAAAACAATAAAGGCTAAAAACTTCAGGATGTCCTAAAAACAGAAGAAACATAATAGTTAGTTGATTGTTCAATGATAAGTACATCATTTGTACAGGGGCGGATCCAGCCATTTTTAAAGGGGGGTTTCCAACCCAGGATAAGGGGGGGGGGGGGGGGGTTCCAATTATATGTCCCCATTCAAATGCATTAATCGTCAAAAAAAAAGGGGGGTTCCAACCCCCCAACCCCCCCCCCCCCCCCTGGATCCGCCACTGTCTGTTGTATATCAATGAATTGTACTCTTGGGGACAATGACACAGTTGTCGGGATAACAAAATGTACCTCCCTCTGTAGACGGTAGCTTGTGAAGTATGAACTTACTATACAGCTCTAACGGGCAACTTTTTAAATTCCTGACAAAAATTGTAGAAAAATTGTCAGGGATTGTATAACAATAACAACCAAAAAATGGCAATGTATCTCTATCTATATAGTATACGAACTCTGACATTAACTTTTAATTTGGAGTTTGTCCTGGCCATGTGTGTATCATTTGTATTTCAATAAATGATACTGTTGGCGACAATAACATGGTTATCGGGATTACAAAATGTTCCTCCCTGTGTACGGGCTCTAACAGGCAACTTTTATTAATAAATGACCAAAAGTAATTGCAAAAATTATCAGAGATCGTATAACAATAAGAACATAATGGGATATATATTAAGGTACTTAACACGTACTGTAAATGTTTAATAATTTATTTTTGAAAATGATTTATAGAACTCATACGGGATTTTGAAAATCTATTGCTTAAACAAAGACTTGCCATTTTCACAATATTTTGGCCATGCACTTTTTTAATAATTATTTTTTTAAAGAAGTTTGCATTCATATAAAAGATAAAAATTCATAAACATGATAATAATAGGAAAAGATTTGTCAATCAAGTCATTCCAGAGGAGATTAAAGAAAAAAGAAGAAGTTTACAACGGACGATAGCAAATGCTCAAATTTGTCCAGTCGCCTTCTGATCAATAACAACAATCTGTAAATCAAGATACTGCAAATCTTCTACAAACTATGGATTAAGTACAAGGATGCTTCGTTTCCACGAGTAAGTGGTATTTAGTTTACTAGAAAAACATTCGGTTTGAAACTACGACAAGTGGAACAGGTCTAAACTAAACTAAGCTAAGGAAAAAAGAAAAGGAATAAAACAGAGACGCTTTTAGACAACCCATATAGCTTAACGCAAGTATAAAGTGGATGGTCAAATGAAATTAGACTTTCTCCTTTTTGAAAGTTTCAAAAAGAGTTTCGATAGATTATCTTAATAAATCAGACCACATATCCTTTTTTTTATACTATGTCAGATAATAATAGGTTGTATAATTACCATAAATTACAACATCAATATTAAGTTTAAAGTAATTTTATTAAGTAAAATATAACAAAACTAGTGGAATTCCAACTCAGAACAAGAAAATAGACAAACACATTTACCTTCTGTTCATCATCGATGAGTAAAGAAGAAAGAAAGATAAAGATAAATATTTGGATTAAATTTTAAAATTACCAAAATCTAAAAACGTTATAAGAAAAGTTTATATACTTTGAATGCCTATTCAATATAGATAAAGTTATGTTTCTGACGACATCTATGTTAAAAGTTTTAAATTTAAACAAAAGTTTCCAACACAAAAATGTCTGAAAATGATCTATAAAGAGGAAGATCGATTATATATTAGATATGTCCTCCACCAATTAAAAAAATTGATAGACAACGCCTCTTCTCTTATAAAGAAAACATACTGTAAATCTATGCATGAGGAAGATTACTTTCCAATCTCAGCTCTGAAAATTAACAAACGCCATCATGATTTAGTCGATAATCAGGTAATATCAGTTTTACAGATGACCAAGGATATGTTCCACTTGTCGTAGCCTCTATCCAATTTACTTTCCATTGCCTTTTTCATCCCATCAAAATTGTAACTTTTCACCAGATTTTTTGCTTCCCTTGACCATAACGGCTTGTTCCACTTGTTGGGCAGGAGCTTCGTACCCTTCTGGCACACCTGTTTTTTTTTTGTTGGAGTGCTTGTTGTTCAATGTTTAGATTTCTGTGTAATATTTTCTGTCATTTGTTTGTCTAATGTTTTTTTTGGTCATAGTATTGTATGTATTTCTTAGGCTCATGGTTCTTGTTTACACATTGGAAGCGTCTTCAGTGTTTTGATACTGACATGATTTATACGGTATCGTTCTTAAATTAAACGTTAACAAATTTAGAAATAATTAAGAAACTTAGAATCCAACTCCCTAAGGCAATGTTGACCAAAAGTGGATTGGCGATTCTTCTTAGGTCCACTATGGTTTTGTAGCTTATCCAGTATTAATACATCCTTGACTTTCAAATTTTGGGGTTTGATGGTTCTTGATAAAGGTTAATCCAGAAAAGCTTTTCGAACTCACTATATCTATAACGTATTTATCTAATTAATTATCTTTTTTTTCTGCATTCTGAGTTCTATTTTGTCACTGAATATTTTATACAATACAAAGAGTTTAGGTCAGCACCATACTGTTAAACTATAATATATAAATCTCGTAGTAAAACTATTTGATTGACTTGATAACCAGGGTTACCTTAATCATTCTTCCGAGTGAGATCTGCAGTGGTCCCAACGCCTCATTGGCTGGAAGGAGGTATGATATGCGAGAAAAGCTGAGAATGTTGGCAACAGCAAACAGACCTTCTGACATATTTATAGGATCCCACGAATCCCAGTAAAATCGGTCTGTAACAAAATAAGTTCAGTCTTAATGTTCATGTAAATAAACATATTAAAATATTCATATAAAATAAATGTTTCGAATATTTTCGGAATATTTTCTATAGATGGTACTTTTAAAAATACAAATGGTTTTATTTATAACTATACTATAGATTTTTTTGTAATACATTGCTGTTGTTTTGCAATGTTATTCGAATTAAATCTGAAAATGTTGACACTTAAGATTTTAAAAGGTTAATGCATATCAATAAAGAGATGTGGGACTATATTTGTGTCGATACTGATCCAATGACACAACCAACGAAAAAAACTACAAGAGGTCAACATAAGTCTTTTACTATAGATACCCGTCTATTAAATATGTGAGGTTCTTAATCGCCATCTAGTTTACAAAAATGTGAATAAAGACCTGTCGTCACTTTTAAATTCTTTTAAGACCGAACCATTTAGATAAACCTAAAGACAACACTACTTAAAGATTTCTGACATAGGACAGACACATGTACAACTAGTTATTTGAGCATTTTTAATCCAAAACAGTGGATAAAACAAAGGCACATAGAAGAATGTACGATATCAGTAAACAGTGCTTCACTCAACAAGATTGGTATACATTGTATATAAGACGCCAACAGCAAAAACAGCTTCTTAAACATATGCGTAATACTAAATGATACCATAATAAACTACGGCTGTAGTAAATGGCAGCGAGCTCAATTGAACTTAACCTGCTGATGAAGAATTACAAATTCATTTACTCTAGTACATGATCAAAGCAATCTTTCTATTGCATGTTTTTAAGGAAATTAGTCTGTATTGTTTTATTACCGTAAAAACATACTAGTATTTACCCACCAAAGAAACAAGGCTTATAATCTAATTTAATTCTAAAGTTAAAGAAGATTGAAAAGCAAAAAAAATATTAAAGGATAATTATGCCAGGAGTAGTAGCACCGAAACTGGGTCGTTGATACCCTTGGGGACGAAACGATCACAAACAGTGCATGACATTGACTTATTGGCGGTAATACTTATTGAAGATTTCAGACATATAACTTAATGATTTAATAGAATGATTTCTATGCGCGCAACACTTTTTGGAAAATTCTTTACCAGGTACAATCGAGAGAAAGGGTTTCATTTGGCCTAACATTGTACTGAAATTTGAAATTTTAATTTAAGATTTCATCACTCGAAACTTTGCACTTGCTTAACAATTATATCAAAGCTAAAATATATCGTATTGTAATTCTAAATTTTTGTAGGCCGAAAAGGGTCCTTACAGCAACCTACCTGTAGCATTAGTTGGTAGGGACATCTGAGCAAAAAGTCCTTGAGTTACTCTAATACGTGATCAAAGCAATTTTTCTATAGCTCTTTTTTAAGGAAATTAGTCTAAATTGTTTTATTACCGTAAAAACATACTAGTATTTACTCACCAAAGAAACAAGGCTTATAATCTAATACACCAGAGAAGCATTTCGTCTATTTAAGACTAAGCAGTAGCACTCGAATTAAAACAGTTGCAAAGCTAATTTACTTCCAAAGTTAAGGAAGATTGAAAACCAAAAACAAAATTAAAGGATATTTATGCCAGGGGTAGTAGCACCGAAACTGGGTCGTTGATACCCTCGGGGACGAAACGTCCACAAACAGTGCATGACATTGACTTATTGGCGGTAACAATTATTGAAGATTTTAGACATATAATTCAATAATTTAATAGATTGATTTCTATGCGCGCAATACATTTTGGAAATATCTTCACCAGGTACAATCGAGACCAAAGGGCTTCATTTGGCCTAACATTGTACTGAAATTTGAACTTTTAATTTAAGATTTCAACACTCAAAACTTTGCACTTGCTTAACAATTATATCAAAGCTAAAATATATCGTATTGTAATTCTACATTTCTGTAGACCGAAAAGGGTCCTTCTAGCAAACCCCCTTTGGCATTAGTTGGAGGGACATCCGAGTAAGATGTCCTTAAGTTACCGAGTTTATACTGAATTCTGAATATAGTCGGGTATTGCAATTTTCAGATTTCTGTTAAAACAGAATGAGATTGTTACTTATATGTTTTGGTAATTATCTTCGATCTTTTGCATTTGCATCTTCTAATGCAGATTCACAGTCGTAAAACACGAAATCATGTAATCGGCTGTCGACTTTTTGACTTCCAAACTATACACAGAAAAATAGCTGGGTATCTTCATTATGGCATTACATTGCGGTTTATAGCGCTCTAAAAGCTTGTTATATTGACTAAATTCTTAAATTTCCCGTTTCATTGATCATTCATATCATGCTATCGTGATTATTTTGTAAGTGCTAATCAGCTTCCGTCTTTGATGTCAATTAATACAGGAATACAGGACATTACAGGGTCATATTATGGGCAACTGAAATTATGAGAACATCAGCTCTAATGTTCTGTAAAAGGGTATGTTTTTAGCAATATATATTTGTCGGAAATTCTCTTTCATACATGTCATGTAAATGCCAAATTCAAATTACCCATTTATCAAACCACCATAAGCCTCTTTCCTGCACCTATATGCATTTATCTGTTAAATGTGATAAACCTGTATGAACCTGTTTCTAACCAAAAATAAAATCAAATTAATAAGAATTGTTTTTTTTTTAAACCAACTAAAAAGTATACGATGTCTGACGCATCATTCAAGTTTTTGGAATAACTTTGACCGGGTACGCCCGAGATCAAAAGTTTGAAAATAAAAATTGAAGGAGAGCAAACAAAGGCCGAAACAATTGAAAAGTGGCATAAACAATTGATAGGCAAGCACACATATTAACGTAAACTTCTTGCACAAAGATTTTATGCATCAATATACGGCAGCCGGCACGGGCACAGAACCGTACAAATGCAGCACCGGAATACGTCTCCAGAACCATTCAAAAGTCATGCGCAGCACTTGTTAGCTAATTACCGACAAACAATTGTGACCTGAATGTACACCAATAATCACGACATATATATTGATCTAATCAGAGTGATCTAATCAGAGACATATATTATATCTGAGACTATTATAACACAGTAGTCTTAGATTATATACACTTTTAGTTTGTATATATGTCTATGATTTAATGATAAAATATAGAACTTAAAGACTTCATTAATTGCATGTTAGCCGGTGTTTTGGGTTCAGTACGTAAAATTTAATGTTTTGAGATGCGTCCTTAATCATGTTAATTAGATAACTTTATATTTTATTATCTTTGTCAGTAATAGTATTAGAAACATCTGTTATATACACTTCATGATGTATTGGTCCCGAGAGACATATTTTAATTTGATTTTATTTGCTAGATATAGTGTATCCTACAATAAACTTAATTATGAATATTATACAATTGGTTTAATTCTTAATCTTTGGTTTATTTTCTTTCTAAATATTTTTGTCCGAATTTACACGTACAATTTTTCTTCTAATACACTTGTTTTCTTAAATATGGAATATGGAGTCTGTAAGATAAACAAATTAAAACATTTATGTCACATTATAGAGCTGTTATAAGGGAAACAGTTGCTTCTCGATAAATTTGTGCGTCTATCCATTTTTGATTAATTTTAGGAAATGGATTTTAAGGCAATCAAAGATCAGTATATTTAACAATTAAAATATTACATGACTTGAAAAATGAGTATGTGATTACTGACAATAAAGAGCATCGCAACCACTAAATTTTCACTTCAAAAATAAGTAAAAAAAAAAATGGTTGATTATAATGAGGTAACAATTTATAATAATCAAGATTGGATTTGACTTATATTATTAGGGAGCTACCATTTGATTTTCATGGGGGGAGGGGGGTGGGGGCTAGGATGAAATTTGAAGAAAAAAAGGCAGGACAAGAGTTTTGAGTAAAAAAAAAGGGAGGATGAGCAACTTCACAAAAAAAAAAGAACAGGGTGTCAATTTATGTAAAAAATGTCAGGATAAACTAATAAAAAAAATCAGGATCGAATAGAGTGAAAAATAAAAAGGCAGGACAGAGATTACAACTAAAAAAAATGCAGGACACAATTTGTCATCCATTGGTTCTGAGGAGGTACCGAAAAAAAATTAGTTAAAAAATTTGGTTCTGACAGGGTATTGTTTTATTTTACTGTAAATAAAGGTTGGTTCTGATGAGGTACCAACATAAAGTTTACTTAGAAAATTTAGTTCTGATAAGGTATTGTTGTTTTTACTGTAAATAACAGTTGGTTCTGAGGAGGTACCGACATTTAAATTACTTAGAAAAAATTTAGTTCTGACCAGGTATTTTTATTTTTACTGTAAATAAAGGTTGGTTCTGAGGAGGTACCGACATTCAGTTTACTCAGATTGTTTTTACTGTAAATAAAGGTTGGTTCTGAGGAGGTACCAACATAAAGTTTAGATAAAAAATTTGGTTCTGACAACGTATTAATTGTTGTTTTACTGTAAATAACGATTGGTTCTGAGAATGTACAGCCATAAAAGTTACATTTAAAATTTGGTTCTGACAAGGTATTAATGTTTTTGCGGTAAAAAAAAAGGTTGGTACTGAGCAGGTACCGACATTCACTTAACTGAGATATTTGGTTCTGATAAGGTATTGAAGTTTTTACTGTAACTAAAGGTTGGTTCTGAGGAGGTACCGACATTCAGTTACTTAGAAAATTTAGTTCTGACAAGGTATTGTTGTTTTTATTGTAAATAACGGATGGTTCTCTGGAGGTACCAACATAAAAATTACTTAAAAAATTTTGTTCTGACAAGGTATTGTTGTTTTTACTGTAAATGAAGTTGGTTCTGAAGAGGTACCAACATTAAGTTTACTTAGAAAATTTAGTTCTGACAAGGTATTGTTGTTTTTACTGTAAATAACGGTTGGTTCTGAGGAGGTACCGACATTTAAATTACTTAGACAAAATTAAGTTCTCACCAGGTATTGTTATTTTTACTGTAAATAAAGGTAGGTTCTGGGGAGGTACCGACATAATGTTTA